CACATTCATGACAGGAAACTACTCGTGTTTATCACGTATATACGTGCGAAACACCTACTGCCTGGGCATGGAACCTATACTTCCGGTCTACCTTCCGCCATGGGCTGTGGTGATGCCGGTCACCACAATCATCCATCATAAGGACAGTCCGGTTGACGTTCTTCAATCAATGCTTCCTGACGAGGGCTGGCGATGTTCCGCTTGGTTCACTGACGGGTCATTGCTGGATGGGCGGGCTGATGGTGCAGGCGCCGGGAGCATGTCAAAAATGGAGAATGGGATATGACGAGCGCCGAGGTGGTGAAGCTTGCACTGCAAGTTCTATGGGATGTCGAGAATACCGGAACAAGGCAAAGAGACCGTAGTGATTACCTTGGCGAGGCTCTCACTGAATGGAAACAGGAGTGGGACGGACAATGGGCAGAACAACACGAATCAGAAGTAACTGAACAATGAAATATTGACTGTTCATTTGTCTTAATATTGTTTGTGATACAAATCAATTTCGAGCTCTCTGCACAACAATAAGCAAAATGTCTAACTTACTTCTTCAAGCCTTCAATTGTAAGTGTCATGCCATCAGCGCTCAGTGCTAATGACTGTGGGTACTTCCCAGGGTCCGTGCTTATCTAGGCTACTATACCATTCCCCTTTAACACCGATCTCCGTCCAAGCCCCCTCACCCTAGCCATGGGCCCAGCTGGCGAACGCCTCCCCCACAATGACATTTCCTTAAAAGGCATATCTAATCTTATCGTGTCACGTGTGGGTCTTTGCCGGCTCTAAACCCATTACAAACACGCTTGTGTTGTCTCCGGTATGGCGTAGTGGTTATACCCTTTTATTGTTATGCTCACGTAAGCGGTTGTTTCCGTGCTCTGGGTTCAAGCCCACGTCGAAACGCTTTTATTTTGCGTCTTTTTTTATTTTTTCAAGCCCCACGCAGTGGGCCTCCGCGGCGAGCGGACGCAGTACGCAGTGGGCCCCGCGGCGAGCGTCAGGGGGTCCGCGGGGGTCTCCCCCGCGCTAGCTAGTCTTGAAAATCTCGGAAAAAGCTTTGAAATTAGGAATATATGTGAAAAAATATTTTTAAAGCTCCACGCAGTGGGCCCCCGCGGCGAGCGGATGCACCACGCAGTGGGCCCAGCGGCGAGCGTTCAGGGGGGTCCGCGGGGGTCTCCCCCGCGCCAGATTTAATTTACAACAGAAATTAAGCTTAAAAATGAATTAAAACCCTTAATAATTTAATTAGGACGTGCCGTCAGGCGAAAAGAGGGGGGTCTGGGGGGAACATTGTTCCCCCCAGCAAATAATGCGGTGAAACTAGTGTTAAACGTGCTCTTTCGAGCTGTTGACGACACGTCGCTCAGGCACGTGATGGGAATGTCACGTGTGTGTCATTGTGGGGGAGGCCAAGGGGTGTTCATGGGCCCCAACCACAAATGCCAGGAATGCGGGGACCCTGCAACCAAACATTGTTCCGGTTGCAAAATAGCGACAGCGTGGTACTGTTCGAACAAGTGTCAGCGGTCGCACTGGGTTGTACACATTTTTGAATGCAACCCAAAAAGGGCCATAAACCTCAGCGACTACCTTGCACTCGCTGTGCGAGAAAACTTGTTCCCCGATAATGTTCACACATGCGAAGCATTTGGGTTTACCAGAGAATTCAGCGTTGAGAACCGGAGCAAACTCCTAGGGTTATACATCGGACTTATTGAGCATCTCGAAATCAGCCACAAAAAGGTGTATCAGTGGCAGAAGGATGGAACACTGGTCGAAAATATCAAGGTGGCATTCAGCGTGCTACCTGAAGGATCACGCAGTGGATACTACCCTTGGTTTCTGAAAAACCAATGGGTGCTCGATCGCACATTGCCCCAACCAGGGGACCCGGTGGACGAGATGATGATGCGTTCTTGGCAATATGTGCATGGTCCAAATGCTCGCACAGATAAGCACGAAGACATTGCTGCCGAGATGTCGAAGTGGCCAGACGTAAGACAGGAGTGCCTTTTGCTCTGCAACCTGATCCTATCCCAACTGCATCCTTCTCCAGAGCTGGAGATATGGGTCAATTTCGGATTCTGTGCATGCCAGAGCGAGGGAAGCGAGAGGGAATTGGCTCGGGTGTACACCGATCTGATCATGCACAGAAAGTGCACCTTTGAAGAGCTCTACATTGTGTACGACTCATCCAAGCTTATCGTTCTCTTTGATTCCAGAGGGCTTCGAGCGCAGCGGGAAAAGATTCCTCATCTTGCAGACGTTCTGGGAGGCTCTCCTCGAAGCTTTAAATCAGTCTGGTTTTTGAAACAAAGGGTGACGAGAGATGAAGAAGCTCAGGGCCCAATGAGTGTGGTGGTGGACTATGGTTTTATGAATTGTTTGAGGAACGAGGAAGAAACATGGCGGCTCAAGGAGTTGTACCGCCAGGTCTTTGCCCTCCCCAGCTCAGATCTGACCAAACTGCATGAGGCGTGCATCCAAGGGCGCTTGTACAATTATATGGGAGGGTTGTTGAAGTTGAAGAAGAAGGACCAGAAGTTGATGAAAAGGTTGCTGAAAAACCCGTATCCATTGCTGGATCTCTAGGAGATTGTATCATTTAGTTTTGGAGACATGTATGAAATTTCCCAAACTGAACAGGAAAACACGGTGATCTCGCGACTGTGACGACGGAGCAGCTGGCAGCGAGGCCACGACATGCCGGCGACAGCGGTATCTTGGACACGGACGCAACATCCGCGGTTTCGCGGAAAGTGCGCGAACACATTGGATGTTGCGTGTACATCCGAGTCGCCTCGGGCATGCGGAGAAGCAGATGACAGCCCATACCACCTTTTTGAGAACAGAAAAATTGCATAAGAGCGATGCGCCAGAGCAGGGACGTGAATGCTGTGAAAAAAGCCCGGCGCTAACCGCTGCTCCGAGCACCAGCAGCCAGGAATCTCAGATACCTACGCGGTGTGTGGATTTTGGCTTGTTGGTGTTCTGCTCGTTGGAGGGAAGAGGTGCTGCAGCACTGGTCGTCGCGGTGGGGTGCCGGTGAGAGAAGCGGCCGTGGCAGATGCAGAAGTGGGAACGACCGTCACTTGCTGTTTGAGGGCCGCGGACGTCGTAGGTGCGACGACAAGGGTCGCTGGGCGGGGCAGTCAGCGATAACACCGAGTAACGATTGGAGGCTGACTCCATGACGCTCAGGGCTTCACACAGCCTATGCAAACAAGGTCTACTCACATTCAAATTGCCTTCATATTCTTGCGCATCGGACATGGCCTCAGCCAGCAATGCAACTACGTTGGTGGGGACTTGCGACAAGAAGCCAATTCATGTTGGATAGATGGATGCGTTGCATAGTGGAACGCGACAGGTTCCTGCAGCCTGAGAGAAAAGACGTCAGGATGGAAACCAGAGAGCAGCATGAACATAAAATTTCGAAGACGGATCGGGGGGTCGATGGGGAACATCTGAAGACAGTTATATGTGTACACTGTACAGTAGAGGCTAAGATGGGAAAGCGCTGCAGACCTTTCCGCCGATTTGGAAGAGGCGCTGTTCGGGACCGTTGGCCCATATTGTAGTGAGATAGATGGTAAAATTGTCGAGACCACGTCGTTGGGCAGGCCTGCGAAAATGTCACTGCGATCCTTGCAAACTCGAGGGGACGAGTCGAGTGGACGTTTGGTTGAGTCGCTGTGGCAGTGCAATGAAGGCCTAGCCAAGCACATATCAGCAACGCGTCAATAAATGGTGACGCGTTGGACTCGCGCGTAAAATATGAAATTGACCCTCAGCGCACAACTTAGTATTTCTTTCAGATCCAAAGAATTGTCTGAGTATAATACAATTCATGGTCTGATTCAGGTTAAGTATGTTTTAAAGTGGCCATGGCTTTGCCAAATTGCCATGGTCACTTTCATTGTAGCCGAGGCAATGGGATGTTGCAGACTGGATGTCGACGTACAAGTGCTTGTCTATTCAAGACAGCGAGCGGAGCGAGGTGGTGCGGGGGGCTGGATGCGGTGTGCTCGTGTGCTATGAGAACATCGGCGACGGCGCCGACAAAGAGAAGCGAGCTGGTGCGGGGGGCCAGATGCGGTGTGCTCGTGTGCTATGGGAACACGCCCGGACTGCGTGCTGTGCTGGCAGTGCGCACGATTCACGGTACGTTGTCCTTTGTTCCCCCCCCCCCTTCTAGTACTTTTCCTTTTCTCTCCCTCCACGCCACACCTGCATCGCAAACGCCACTGGGCGGTGCGGTCATCCCCGCGCCTGCGTGGTGGCGCCTTTGCTTTGTGCAGACGCGGGCGTCGTGTGTCCCGGCTGCGGGTGTTGCGTCACACTTCTCGTGTGGCGTATCTCCCGGGCCGGCAACTGCGAGACGACGCGTGCATAGCTCGCCGCCGCCTCAGCCCCAGCCCACCCCGTTCTCTCCGCACACACTTTCCTCCACCTGCCAACTATGCCCCCGCACGCCAACGACCCGTCCCCCGCGTCTCGCCCCTCATGTCACCTACCGAACGATGCTCGTCCCCTTTCATTCACGATCTACCCACTGACGTGTTCTGTTCACGCTAACCCCGCCCTCTGCAACGCGGACGATCGGCGAACGCGGTACACCAGCCCAGCCTGCGCGCGAAAGGTGGAGAACTACCCAGGTGAGGGCTTTCCCATGTCCATCGCCGCATCCCCCGTCCGCCCCCATGCTGCCGATCTCCACCGAACCAAACGCAAGCACCCCGCAATCGCCTGCAGCAGCGGAGCGTATACGTTGGGGTCATGGTGCTGCGAGCCGCTGACGTGCGCGTGATACGCAGCCATTCCACTGCGCGGCCGTTCTCCCGCTGCGCGCGTCTCGCATCCACCCACGCACGTTTCGCCTGGTCAATCCGCCCTCACTACACCCAGAGCCGGAGATCGACAGCGTCGGGACGACAGAAGTTCGGGCGCCTGACGTGGAAAGTGTATGTCAACGTATCACTTCCCTTCTCCATAAGGGTGAGATGGCCGAGCGGTCTAAGGCGCCAGACTAAGGATCAACTTCGAATTGAAGTTCACTTTGTGCAATCCCCAATCTGGTCATTAATTTGGCGTGGGTTCGAATCCCACTCTCATCAGTTTTTGCTCATTTCTGGGGGCTTTGGTGATGTCTTGCCTAACCCGGCGTCTAGACGTCTTCTTTTAACCTCTCGGCATCCTTTTTCTCTTCAGTTGAAGCCGATTCAAAAGGACAATGTCGCAGAATAGTGTGTCTTTGGCGGATATTTCAGAATTGCCCTATTTGGATGAAAGCGTAGTACATGTGTAGTACTCAAGGTAGCGTAAGTTACCAATCCACACCATTATTCCGCCGAAGATCCAGAATCCTCATTGCATACTCATGACAATAATGGGTTGCCATTAGTATTGCACCATGACGGCATTGGCAATAACTTCAGTAGTCGGAATTTACTCGAGGCGGGACAGCCCTCGAAGGTATCCCAAATGGTCCACCAAAGGAAGGAAAGAAAACAAGTCATACATATACCCAACACATCGGCGTTGATGGCGACCTCGAAGCCTCGCCACTCGTTTCTGGACTTCAAAAGACTTCATTCGACCAAATGTCCGACGGTATGCTGTCCAACACCGATGATTTCGCCCGCAACTATCCGTTATCCGCCTTTGAATTTGGCGGTGCCCCATCGCCGAATTTCCTGACAATACTTGGACGCGGGACTCTCAAGAGCTCACCCAGTCAGAATGTTCCATGTGGCACATCGACGCTCAGGATAATCTCGAGGATACGGGATTCTGGGGCTACAGTGACGAACGCAGTCGACCAGCCCCGGGACGATACAGCTCCAAGCTCTAGCGGCCGTCCCTTTTCCAATGAAGATGCGTTCCGAGCGCGACTGAGACACCGATGGTACCTCGACGCAGACTCCGCCCGTGACGATGATAGCGCGTGCGCGTCACTGACGCACGCGCAAACTAAGAACTTGGCCTGAGGGGCTGAACTCGCCAGGTGTCGCATCTCGGCCACGTCAAAGTGTTGCTTCCTCTGTTCCTTTCTGTCGTCCAACCATAGGTTTCTCAGGAAAGGGCAGAGCTTTCACCAGGGCATACGAACATGAATTTTGGCCTGAAAGACCCACGAGTGTCGACCAAGAGCTCGCTGAACTATTTCAACATTTATAAGTAGAAGGTGCGAGGTTCCGGAGGACTCGCCACTCTCGTCGCTCGGGCCCGTCTCTGTCATCTTTACGCTCCCGCTTCCCTAGACTCTTCCTGATTCCTTGTTACCCATAGCCTAGTCAGTATGTTCCTTGAACAAGGATACTTATCCCCCGTTCTCTCTTGTTCCCCTTCTCAGGGATCGTGAGCCTCAAAGGACTCGAAACCTCACATGTTTCTTCTTCCCTTCGGGTTTGTCGTCCAATCATAGGTTTTTCGGGGAAAGGCAGAGCATTCTCTTGCTTCCTCCGGGGTCTAAGAACATGGATTTTGGCCTGAAAGATCGGCTCGCTGAACTGTTCGATATTCAAGTAGAAGAGTTGTAGTGGCGATTACTGGTTACAAGCCCCGCTTTGGTTTTGAAATCAGTCAAATTCGGAACCAAATGAATGGCTCTGTTGGCGAGCGCAACAAACAAGACGGTGAAGGCGAAGGAGAAGGAGAAGGAGAGGCTGGTGGCATAAGAGTCCAAGGTCCGGTTCGGGGCAACTATCCGACATCCGACACGTTGAATTCATACGATCACGGACCGGAGTTGCTCTCTATGGCCTCGAGCGCAACTGAGCTCTTTCTCCCTCCGTCCTTTCCATATCCAATCAAAGTCGTATCTATCGATGCTAGCGCGGAATCCGCCGTCCAACGCGGCACGCGCCTTCTGAGCTACTCCTTCGTTCACGTCCCCGCCCTGCCTGACGCTCAGCCAGAGTCGCGCTTCGGCACCTGGGACTCGGCCATCGACGGGACGATCCAAGCATGGAAGGTCCGCCCCGGTGAGGTCATCTCGCAGCGCAAGGCCAAGGACAGACCCGTCGTTCTCGTGCTCGAGGAATGCAAACATGGGATGCAGATTTCGGGACTCTGCGTGCTCTGTGGCAAGGACATGACCAAGTTTGTACTTTCTACGATTACCTACTCGTTTCTGACGTGCAGGTAGCTCTGACTACATCGGGTTCACCGATTCCTCACGCGCACACATCCAGATGACCCATTCCGCGAACGGACCGCTCGTCTCCCTCGAAGAGGCGCAGCGGCTCGAGAAAGAGACCGCAGAAGATCTCCTCAAGTCGCGAAAGCTGTCTCTCATCGTCGATCTGGACCAGACTATCGTGCACGCAACAGTCGATCCGACCGTTGGCGAGTGGCGAGCGGAAGGCAAAGCCTGGAAAGCGCGACAAGCACTCAAAGCCTCGACAAGCAAATCTGAAGACTCGGGCGACAGTCTTTCCGAGTCCGAGGACGAGTGCAATCCCAATTGGGAGGCACTCGAGGACGTCGGCGAATTCAGGCTCGGACCCGAGTCGTTTGGGATGCCGACAACCCAAGGCAAGGGAAAGAACAAGATGATTGAGAACGAGGGCTGCATGTATTACATTAAACGCAGGTATGGATATATGTCGTTTCCTCTCCTTGTACTCACTCTGTCTAGACCTGGTTGGCAGGAGTTTCTCGAGGACATGGCGACCAAGTACCAGATGCATGTCTATACGATGGGCACACGAGCATACGCTGAGCAGGTCTGCGCGCTGATCGACCCCACGGGGAAGGTCTTCGGTGGCCGGCTCCTCAGTCGCGACGAGAGTGGAAGTGAGTCTGACGCGACGCGCCCTCGGAATTGCAGCTAAATCTCTGCCAGGTCTCACCCAGAAAAGCCTACAACGACTGTTTCCCTGCGACACGTCGATGGTGGTTATCATCGACGACCGTGCGGACGTCTGGGAGTGGAGTCCTAATCTGATTAAAGTAGTACCATGTGTGTTGGCCAAACCGCTTGTCCCAAACGTCCCCACTAACCTCGTATCCGCAGACGATTTCTTCGTCGGAATAGGCGACATAAACTCGGCGTTTCTGCCGAAAATCGAGCCGCTAGCGCCAACCGTTCCACCGCCCGCACCGTTGCCCAGTGGAAGCAAAGAGAGCACGCTTACCGCTGCATCGTCAGATCCTCCGCCCTCTTCGGATCCAGCCCAAGTGACACCGTCATTGCCACAGCCTGTCTCGCCTCTGGAGGCGGCCAGGGCAGAGCTAACGGAGAAGGCCATGCTGACGCAGAACTCCATCGCGCTGGAGGCGCAGGTCGAGGAGCGGCCGCTGGCGAAGAAGCAAGAGGAGCTGCAGGTAGCCTCGGACGAGGCGTCCGCTGCGCCGGGTGCTGCCGGATCGGCGGGCGAGTCAGAGGCCGCAGCCAGCGAGACGGAGAAGCCCGGTTCCAAGACGCCGGCACCCGAGAAGCCGCATCGCAAGGCGTTGCTGAAAAACGACGACAACGAGCTGCAGCGGTTGGGCAAGGTGCGTTTTTTCTGACGTCCCGCGGGCCGTGCTTACTTTGCATATGTGCAGCTCTTGGACGAGGTGCACCGCCGGTTCTTCACCGTGTACGAATCGCCGCCGTCGCACGACAAACCCAGCTCGTCGAGGAGGCGGGAACGAGACAAGCCCAAGCCAGCGTATGATGTGACGGTGCGGCTCTATTTTCAGCGGGTGCCTTGATATCCTGATCCCTTGTTCAGCTCATCATCCCGCGCATCCGGGCTGAGGTGCTCGAAGGCGTGCACATCCTCTTCTCGAGCGTCATCCCGCTTGACACGAACCCGGAGGCGACAGAGATCTGGAAGATGGCGCGCATGTTCGGCGCGCGGTGCGCGACGGAGCTCACGAGTGAGGTAACGCACGTCGTCGCCGCGAAGGTGCGTTCTCACTCTGCCTCCTTGTTTTGTGCCTGACACTGACACGGCGTCGCGCAGCGCGGGACGGTGAAGGTCGATGCGGCGCGCAAGCGCGGGGGGATTGCGATCGTGCGGCTCGCATGGTTCACGGACTGCATCGCGCTGTGGGCGCGGCAGGACGAGGCGAAGTACCTGCTCGATGAGGTGGCGCCCGCGGGCGGTGCGGCAGGCGCGGACCCGCTGCAGGTGCCCGCGGAGGATGAAGCGGACGCGGACGACGCTGCGTGGGATGGCGGGGACGGCGGCACGAACGCGGAGCTGGCGCTCGACGCGATCGACTGGAGCGACATCAACGACGAGGTCGACGCCGCGATGAACGAGAGCGATGACGACGACGACGAAGGCGGGGACGGGGTGCAAGAGGATGCACGGAGCGAGCGGAGCGGGATGTCCGAGGACGACTGGATTGATGACGCAAGCAGGTCGGTGCTTTTCTGTTCCTTTCCCAGAGCGTAGTGTCGCGTCTCGTCTCGATCTGAACGTGTTTTTGTTTTCCTTTCTGGCACACAGTGTCCACACGGCGAGCGCGCCCGCGACGCCGACGAAGCGCAAGCGGCTGCGAAGTGTGACGCCGTCGGCGAGCGACAGCGTGAACGGGTCGCCACTCGCCAAGCGCAAGAAGGTCGCGGCGGATCGCACTGGGTACTCGAAGCTCAAGGAGGCGATCAGCGCGGCCGATCTACGGGCGACGCTGGCGCGGGGTTTGGACGAAGCGGACGGGGGCGCGCTGAGCCCAGGGTCGCAGCGGTCTGAGAACGGGGGGGAGGAGGAGGAGGAGGAGGAGGAGGACGACGACGGCGGGGACGGGGAGGACGACGACGACTTTCTGGCGCGTGAGTTGGAGGAGGAGTGGGGATAGTCGTCTGGCTGGAGTCTCGCTTCCGCTTCCTGCTTTTTTGTATCTATCCGCTTTCGTGCTGTTTTCTACATTACTGTTGCGCGTAGTACTTATCCTTATTGTACTTTAGGAGGACTGACGCTGTATTTCGCCTTTCCGAAATAAATAGATTGTATCATTAGTCCAAATCCAAGTAAGTTACACTAGGGTAAATCCGGCCTCCTCCTCCTCCTCTCCCTCGTCCTCACCTTCCTCGCCCTTCTCCCCGAGCTCCGAGGCATATAGCCGCCACAGCTTGCGCACAGGGCGCCCCGTGAGGCGCTTAAACAGCTTCTCGTCC